GCCACCATGCTGCACATGCCTTCTCCTTAATTCACAGACTTACTTCCTGTTTACCGACGACATCATGTCCTATTACTGACTTAAGGTGGCACCAGAGAGTTACAATTGCATATTTAAACATTTACCAAATCCAAGAAAACAGTCTACCTTAAAAACTTTTGATATCAGAATAGTTGTTTCCTCATCAACTTCTTTCTGTCTGCTGAATCTGTAGTGAATCAAAGTGAAACGTGTGAAAATGCAGCTGTTAATGATCCAGTTTGTTAGATGAACGTGTGAATGTTGCAGTGTGCTGTTAAACAGTAACATAGTAACTGTGACGTGTCCTGATCTGACAGTAGATCATGTTTGTGTTCTTGGTCACATGACACAGGTCAGCTGTTCACACAGAGTTCATCTTTATAGGCTGGACCAGTTTGGAATAACAATGGGAATAATGGTTCTTATATGGAGCTTTTCTCCTCTGAGCACTTTGATACTCGCCTCATTCAAACATTTATACGAGTGTGATTCCTCTTTTCCTGTGAGTTTATATATAAATGATAACACACTGTTAGTGGCTCACACTGGGACTGCATCTTTCATTAATCTCACATTCAGTGTCACACAGACAGGATCTGATGAGCTTCTTGTTCCTATAATGAAGTGACTGATAAAGAAAGCTCCTTTCAAACATGAAGCAGCGATCCAGCTGCTGTTGGCAGCAGGCCGACCACAGTGATGAATCTGCAGACAGCTGGATCACTGTGACAGATCAGCAGGATTCATCCAGAGGAGTTACTACACCTTACTGACTGTGCTGATCTCACAGTGAGAGCAAGTTTGTTCCACAGTGTTGATGCTGAAACAGTGAAACACAGTCCTGTGTTTGAACCCTGACCTTTGACCCTGTAACAGTCACTTATTCTCTGATCTGAGGGTCTCAGCTAGAAGATGCTCTGAGATATAAAATGCAGCTGTAACATGTAGAGATTTGATTAAACTGGATTTTGCAGTGAAAGTGAAGCTGCAGTGATGTGTTCACTGTCCTCAGTGTGTGTAGGAGCTTTGCTGCTGTGTGTTGTACTGACTGTAGATGAGACACTGCTGCATCATTTAGGCCTGAACACACTGAGCTGCAATCATGTGATCAGGAGGAAATGAGGGTGTGGATCAGCTGATCAGGAGCATTGATGGGACTCTAGAAACCTTTGTAACCTGTACGAATGAGACTGAACTAGACTTCTGTTTTCTGCTTAACATTCACATGCTGATCAAAGATGAGCTCAGATTTCTATCACAGTGTTTTCAATCAGTTATTATTGTTCAAGGAGGAGAGATGAGATTAATAATCTGATCAGGACCAACAAAATGCCTTTGGCTGTTTCTCAACACTCAAGTACTCACGTTCTTGGTAGAGATGGCACCACACCACTGTTTTATGTCCGACAGTGATATGAATCCAACATAGTTTAAACTGATTTTGTGTTATTTTTAATTAAATGTCTTGCTGCATTTTGTATAAGTTCATAAACAAAATTTAAAAAAAAACTAAAGATTTAAGCGATTCAATTACACCTGTATGCAAAAAATTCACTGCACCCAAAATATTTCCCAGGTCAGTGATACTGATCCTTTGAAACTTTTAGCAGAACTTCAAATCCAAGTATTTAAAGTAAAATTCAAAAAGTCATTTAAAATGCAATTTATGCAGATTTCAAAAAGTCTTTGGTTTTTGCAATATCAGCTCAAAATCATGTTTATATTTACCAACTTAAAACATGTTTATACGTAAAGCTGAACATAAACAGACATCCAGAGTTTAAAGCAGTACAAATAAATGCAAACTTTTATCAGGATGGATGTCAATGTGAGCTGTTTGAATCACATTTAACCTGAGAGTGAATTTTGTGTTTTTGTCCAACCATGAAACTGTTCAGCAGCAACACTGCGTTTTATAAAACCTGAGTCTACCATCGTACAGTACTTACCAATGACAGCGCACAGACATCTGAGCTCCATATGTCGTTTGTTAAGCTTAAAGTACCAACATTCACAGATGAACTTACACACTTGCTTTACTTCTTCATGGTTCCTCCACAGAGTGGACCAGCAGAGCTCAGAGGTTCCCAGTGGTCAGTCTGCCCAGCAGCATCAAACACAGCTGGACTCCATATTTATGGTCTGTACATGTACAACAACTACTGTTACATTTATTCTGTTCACAGTCATCTCCATGCTACTCTTTGTAGACCAGTGGATTGTCAGTGT